GATCAACATTTCAGAATCATTAAAGAAAACGTTTTTGCTAACCTCCTGCGGGAGTCACTGTTTCAACGAGGAGTGGGTAGGAGTCTGGGACCCCCACATCGACCATCCTTCGCTCTATAGTTTAGTTGTCCCTTTTGAACCTAGGACCAACTAGGTTGGGTATCCACTATAGAACTTTTCAATTCACGGGCTTTAGTCCCATTTCTCGTGACAACTTCTCCAACAATTCTCTATCCAATGTCTTGGCTAGCGGATCTGCTATGTTATCCTTTAATTTCACGAAGTCAACAGTGATAACACCCATTGTGAGGGGTTGTTTAATGGTGTTATGTCTACGATGAACGTGTCTAGACTTACCATTGTACATATTGCTCTGTACCCTTCCAATTTCCGCTTGACAATCGCAATGTATGCATATTGGAGGGACAGACTTTTCCCAACTTGGAATTTCCTCGAGAAAATGGTGTAGCCATTCAGCCTCTTCAGTGCACTTATCCAAGGCTATTAGCTTAGACTCCATCGTGGATCTAGCTATTAATGTTTGTTTTGAGGATTTCCATGACAAGGTTGCACCTCCCAAAGTGAAAATATATCCACTTGTGGACTTTGAGTCCTTAATGTCGGATACAGTTAATTAAAACTATAATTAATAAAAAATAATTAATAAAACGAGAAAGAAATATCCACACAGCCTCTTCGTGTGTCTCGGAAAAAACGAAGAAATATTAATTAACAAAAATAATTAATTAATTAAATAGCCAAAGAAAAACAGAAAAGAGATGAGACAGCCTTTTAGCCAGAGCTCGTGCTATGCACGATGTCCTTAAAACGTATTCGTCGTCTCCCACGGTGCTAGGAGCGTTGCAACGACCGTTTCCCAGGATACGGTGGCTAACAAACTAACGTTTGAGCACACAAACGAGAGTTCCGGCGAACTGGAACACAGTATGAACACTTAGGAATTTTCTGAGTAGCTGGAAGTGTTTTAGAGCTCAAAATTACGTGAAGAATGTATTGTGAGTTGTGTTGTTGCAAACCACCTGTCAGCTATTTATAGGAGGACTTGTTGTGTGTTAAATGTAGTGTTAATGGACCTGAACGTTGGACATCAATGACCAGTCCGTTGGGCATTGAATCGTCCATAAACTGTCCATTTAACGCAGCATTAAAAGACAAGAATGTTGGACATTTATTGTTGTAACGGACAGAACATCGAGGTATTCTGTTGCGCAACAGAACAGCACACGACCTTCTGGTTCCGGAGCGAACAGAACACCTTGAGGTCTTCTGTTGGGAGCGAGCAGAGAACCCCTCGAGGTGTTCTGTTGGGAGCGACCAGAGAACCCCTCAAGGTATTCTGTTGGGAGCGACCAGAGAACCCCTCGAGGTATTCTGGTGCGTACAACAGAACCCCTAGGCCTTTGCTTCGTTTCTGGAAAACTGGAACCATTGCGGGAAGAAGCAAAAATTAAATCATATCTTTGAGTGATAGATTTTCGGACGGCATTCGTGTCCGCAGGTCGCCCGCGCACACGAGTCACGCTTTTTCTTCTCCGTTTCGGGATTTGATTGGCACCCCGCTGCGCGTAAGACAAAGCCTTTACCTTCAGGAATTTAACTCCTTAAAAGAGGCTTCCCTTTATAAGGGGGTGAATATCTCTTGAGTTTTCCGGTGTGGTATAAAACACACTAGAAACCCATCATTTTCCCAGTTTTTTCATTTCAACGAGTGAACTTCGAGAATCAATTTCTCATTCACCCGATATCCGTTTTGAGCGTACCATATATCAAATTGTAGCCCTTAACAAGGACAATACAAAACCATTTTGACCCGACCCAAATCGGAAGTGGACCCCATTCAAATAATTGCCCCAAAAGGACCATTTAATGCAATTTTTAACACATTTTTCCAACATTTTAAACCCAACCTGGGCCGATGCCACCACTAGTTTTTAATCTTTTATTGCATTCACTTTTGCACATTTAGGCTTCTTTACATGTTTCTTGTATCATGGATTATGGCTTAGCTTTTCTGGAATTTTACCTCCCTTTGATCTTGAAAGCTCAGAGCAATTATACAAATCAGATTCAATTATGGTAGTTATACACTCAAGAGCTTTCTGCTTCTCAAAACAATACATTCTCTCAAGCAACGTTTTACATGCTAATTTTGTTTCCTTTTTATAAACTTATGATGCCTTCTTGCCATTTCTCATGTGGTTGCAGGAATTAAGTGCCTCCATGATAGTTCAATGGGTAATGCCGTAACGTTTCAGTACAAAACTAAAACCATCGTAGTACTCTAGTACTCCCTCCGTCCCTAAATGTTCTTCCAAATTAAAGTGGCACGGTGATTAAGAAAGTGGGAATTGTGTGGTGGAAAGTTGTGCAGAGGAGAGATAAATGATATGAACCACAAATTCTTTGCCAAAAAGAGAAAGTGAAGTTCTTTTTGAGACGGACGAAAAGGGAAAGTTGGAAGTAAATTTAGGGACGGAGGAAGTATATCAGTACATGGGTTATGTTTCATTATCCTCAAAACTGCCGAGACTACTTAATGCACTTATTAGCTTGAGAGTATATTTCATTTTTAGAAGGCTCTCTATAGGGTCCCGATTGAAGCGGTTGAATGGCTGAAGGCCGATGGTTGAATTATAGAAAAGTTATACGATAGTATTTTATTAATAAAATAATCAAAGAAACTAATGAAGCTTGTTTTGATGATTAAAGTCACATATTTGAAGAAAAAAATTTACTTATTTTGCTTATTGTACAAAATCAAAAGTCACATATTTTCAATAAAACACGATTAATAAGGATGATAAGTTGAAAATAGGATTATCAAACAACATCTAAATATGATTAATAAGGTTGATAAGTTGAAAATAGGAATATCTAATGTCTACATTTCATTCACGTGCTCTTCATTATTTGTTATCCCACAACTTTCTTGTAGGTGTAGTCTTGTAGATATGAATTGTTTTGATATAACTAAGCTCATTGGACGTTTTAATTTTAGAAAATGATCACAATATAAGCTCTGCTCTATATAATGCCCAAGCTAAAAATTATGGCTTTACGGTGCTATTACTCAAAACAAGCTTCATTAGATGACATGAATAAAAACAGACTAGATAAATGTTATACATTGTACTATTATATGACATAAAAAACTTTTTGGGAAAACTCTAAAAAATGTTCAATACTATTATAAAAAAGTCAATTAAGTTCTCCACCGCCCCGACATAAGGACGCCACCCACAATTTCCCCTAAAGCCGTCCGTGTCACCGTGGCCCAAAATTTCGCCCACACTTCTCCAATCTACCACCCATCGCACACAGCCGCAACCTAACCACCCATCGCCGCCCGCCGCCCACGACTTCCCCACCGTGTCTTGTCGCCCACAACTAACCCAGCCACTGCCGGTCCGTCTCAAATATCTTCCCAAACCGCCACCCACCTCCCGTTGCCCATGCCTTCTTCAACTGTCCAAGGAAAGAGAATCGGAAAGGAGGGAAGCAAGATGAAGAAAATAGAAAAGAGAAATTTGTGCGAGGCAGAAAAACAAGGGGGAAAGAAAGCGAACGGGAAGAAAAATGAAAGATCAAGAGAGTATCAATCACCTAAAAAGCTAATTTGATAAGTATATAAAATAGAAATTGTCCTAAATAGGAGTAAAAACGTTTTGAAATTTCAAAATAGGAGTATCATGTTTTTTATTCCTTAAATAAGAGTAATCTGTCAAGTTTGGGAAAAAATGTCATGTTGAAAAAAAGCCTAGTAATGCTAAACTTGGCAGAAATTCACTCCTATTTAGGGAATAACACGATAGTACTGTTTTTTATTTTCAAAACTTTTTTACTCCTATTTAGAGAATTTTACTCAATATAAAACCTATTTGACATTTTTTCCAAAAAGTTATTTGTGTATCTAATAGTACATAGCTATGAAGAACAGATACTTCACTAGAGTCCCGTATCAGCGTATCGAAGATGTTCTCGTATTGGATACTCTAGGATACCCGTACCGTACGTTCCCGGACTGTATCCGTAATTTTTTAAAAGTCCAAGTTTTTTGGTATTTATTCTAAAATTTTGGACACCCGTATCCTAACGGATATACGTATCAACTTTTTTTATATAAAAACACATCCAAAATTTAAATAATAAAACCCTTAAAAAATGAAAAACTAAAAATAAATGTTACCTTTGTTTAATATTGCACACAACAAAGTATATGAACGACAAGTAAAATGTGAGGTATTAGTGAGAATGACTTTGTGAGCATAAAAAGGATACAGGAGTACTTGAGTTTGTCAACCTTCCCATAAATGAATCAAAATTGGAGGCTACTTTTTTTGGAAGACGATGTTATCCTTGAAAATTAGTAGCTCCAATGAGAATACGTATCAGAACTTTTAATTTTTTATTAGAATATTGTTTTCTATCTCCATTAGCCGAGAACTTTGATTACTTACACTTTTAATTTCTAAGTTGTGGTTGTTTGACTCGTTTCTCATTTTAAATTAATGACTTATTGCCTATATTTATATTTCAATATCAACTAGAGTAAATGAGGTAAAATATGGATTTATTTCTAAGTATCATGATAATATGAAATGCTTCAATACCATGAATGGGCAGAGATAATAGGATAATATATGTACATATTTTTTGAAAAATTGTAATTTTAATATTTAGAAATGCAACCCCATTATTTTTAATATTCATAAATACACCCCCAATAACTTTTAATATTTATAAATATACCCCCGTATCCGTGTCATACTTTTTTGCTTTTGTCGCATCCCCGTACCCATTTACCCATTTCCACGTATCCTTGCTACATAGGTGCATTGTATAACATTTAGAAAAGGAAAAAGAAAAAAATAAACTGTCCGGCCCATGCAAACCAGGGAAGAAAAAGTCAGCCTAAAGAAAGAGATAAAGAGAGAAAAAGAAAAGGAAAAAGAAAAAATAAAATTTATCGCCACATGAGTGTCCATGTCAGCATTAACCAGCAGTATCTATATTCAACCGGCTAAATAGCAAAATTGATTGTTGTTTAACACTTGATTGACTTGATTGATTCAAGTAGAAGTACGAGAACCCAATTAACTTTTATGACAGGAGTAGTAAGACCCATTTGACAGTTTTCTCTAACTTTTTCCAAACCAAACCAGACCTCGAAGTTTCGTGTCACACCCGTTTCTTTTTTCAAGTGAAAAGAAGGATTCCGGGTCGAGAATATAAGATCTTATGCAGTAAAATGTAAATATAATGAGAATGGGAGCATATTTTTCCTGCTCTAACAGAGTAACAGTCTAACTTATGATAATGTTGCAAATAGGTCATTTGCATTATTACATATGATTATCCATCGAATGCCGACAAACAATTCTTTTCAAACTTCTCTGTTATTGCAAAAGTTTCATGATTTCAGAAAATGCACTGTCAGTTTTGGTTTGGAAAGACTGAAGCACGGAAAATATAGAAGCCTAAAAAACAAAAAGGAAAGAGACTTTCAAATCTATGCTGTGGATATAACACAATCAATTGCTCGTTTGCAAATGCCAGTCATTGTAGCCTCGGGTCCATAAACCTGAAACAATAAAAAACAACTAATACTTCTTTTACCATATACAATTGGCAGAAGTTAGGAAGTAGTAATGAACCTGCAGCGTTGCACATCCCATGTAATGGCGTTGATAAGAAAAAAATGTCCTAAATAACATCAACATGCTTTGTAGATTTTTAATAAAGTTTCTTATTGCAGACAGGCAGCAAAAGGTGGCGAAATAAGTCATTCTCCGAAGATAATCGAGAAAAGACTACTTATTCAGTACAATTTAATCTATTTCATGATCATCCTGCAAAAATTTTATAACGTGCTTGTACAAGGTTTCATATCATACAAAATGTTTGTAATGGAACAAAAAGAATCTTTCATTAATGATATCATAGGTGTCAATCAGATAAAATATTGCGAAAGAGAAGAAGTGTGTACCTCTAGAGGAACTCCCAACTCCTCTCCCAATGCACGCATTTTTGCCAAACCTGTTTGATAATTAGGCCCACCTCTCCGAACATAAATGTGCATTCTAGCAGCTTTTAACTTGGATTCCTATTAATTTTAAAAATAAATGTTCACATTAATAAACTGAAGATTTGATGGGGGGAGCAAGCTGTTGTGTACTATTCATCAATATAACCAACCTTCTCCCTGAGAGCTCGGATAATTCCATTGAATGTAGAGGCAACATCAGTAAAATTAGCAATACCGCCTCCAATAATGAGAGCTCTCTTACGGCCATCTGGATCAGTTGTAGCACACTATTGATTCAAAAACAAAACAAAATTGCTCAAGACAGTTGATATCTTCAAACATGTTCTCCACATTGATCAATAAATAATAAAGCCTAGATTCTCACATCAAGAACTACACGAGCATATTGTAAAACTTCCTCTTCATTTGGAGCTCCACTATATTCTGCGTAATTACCAAGCTCAGATGCATAGCCTAAATCTCCAACCTGGTTAAATCGAGAGGACTAGGTGAGCAAGTCGGCATTTTGAGTGCGGAATTGCGGATATGAATAATAAAAATTGCATCCTTTTTGGTGCACATGTAAAAGCGTCCCATCCCTGTGTGCTCCCAGACGGTGCTCCAAGAACAAGACAGGTAGTTTGCTGGGATGTTTAAACAGAGCAATAGAATTGGGGTCTGCCCCCTTGCTAAGCAAGGTTGCCCCGTAACGCAGTTCTCGTAAACTGAACTGGAGTCTACCAGTTTTGGAACATCCTATCGACCAGTTCAAGAATGGGATAATTAAGGACACTCACTGTATCAGCATATATCACACTTGCTCCACCACCAGCTACCATTGTCCAGATCCGTCCTTTGGGGTTCAAGACAGTAAACTTCAGAGACGCACTGGTCTGCATAATATTGGAGCAAAACACATGGGTCAAGCATTACATCAACAAGAAAGGCAACTTCTGAAACTTTGGAAGCAGCGTGGGAAAGAAGTTATCAAGCCAGACACTCAATAACTCTTGTCTTATGCCTACACAAGAGGATGCAAACTATGCAGCAAAAGCAATGAGTCGTACTAGACATAGCCATATTGAATAGCATTAAGGAAAGGGATAAAGCTCAAATTGGACACTATGGTTTCATGAGAATCTCATATTGGACACTATGGTTACATATGTATCTCATATTGAACACAGAAATTTCATAATTCATAGTTTTTGGACACTCACTTATGATTCTCTTCTTCCTTTAATAAAAATCGTTAGTCTTACATTTTCTTTCCTTTTTGGTGAAAGTAAACCAATTTAATTACGTATATAATTTTGGAATATTTAATTTGAAGTTTTAGAATATATAAATTGATTTTAGTTAATAACTTCTTATATTTAACAATTTAAAAATATATTTAGGACTTTTCATTCATATGATTTTTATGGAACTTTAAGAAATATCGATTTGTTTAAATTGATTTAAAAATATTAAAGAATTCAATTACATTATAATAGATTTTCTTAATTGGAGCATCTAATTATATATTCTAAATCTAAATACACAAATTAAGTTATTTTTATTTCTTAGGTACATAAAACCAAGAGAAAAAGGAATACTTATATCTTTCAAGGTGAAAATCTTTGATGGGTGTCCGAAAATGATCAGAAAAACGTAAAATTTGATCAATTTGAAACTTTAGTGTCCGATATGAGACACACAAGTAACCATAGTGTCCGATTCGATCCATTTGAAACCTTAGTGTCCAATATGAGATTCTCATACAACCATAGTGTCCAATTTGATCCTTATCCCTTAAGGAAATTAGATACATACGCACGCTGATCCAATCACATTTACAATTTTAAATATGTTACCCATTTGTACTTACTTTTTCATCCAATGAATGAATAAATCTTTCTGTTGGGCTCAAAACTCTCCCAAAAGGTAGAGGGAACTCAATATTGCCCCACCTAGAGAGAAAAATCATGTTAGATTGAGTTGACATCAAAGAAAGCTGAAAAGTAATACTTCGTATTAGTCACTTCTTTTCACCCCATTTTGCTCAATAGAATTTTACATTTTATACATACTTCTTGAAGTTTTTAAAGGCGGCCGTGTCATCTAATTCTCCTCTCATATCCAGGGGATACGGTTCACCATTAACAAGCGTAAATGGGTTCATCTCAAGAAAACTGAAGTCAAGGTCTGTTCACGAGGAAAAAGACAATTTTAAAAAGGGCGTTCAGTAATAGATAACTTCATCAGACTGCAGGAATAAATGGAAAGAAAAAGAACATCAGAGTGCAGGAATAAATGGAAAGAAAAAGAACAAGGAAAATAGTTTTGTCTTCAAAACCAAAGATATGCACTTCGTGATATCCGATTAGATGCCACTTGATAATCTGCTATACCTAGTAGTCTATTCATAATAGATACTCGCTCTATCCGAGTATCTCAGTCTCATCTTTCCTTTGCATCATCCTACTAAGTTTGCCGCATGCTATATTCGGTAATATTTGTGTGGTTCAAAATCGATCAAACTTAACAAACTCAATACAAACCACATAATTACACTTCCCCTAATATATGTTTCACTTCCTCATGTTCCAATTTTCCAAAGATAGTGGGACAGAGGTAGTAGATGATATCATATCTCTCCCAAATTCAGAGTGGTAGAGCATAGCATACCTTGAAATACAGCAAACACACCCATTATAAAGTTGCCAATTTTTCCCCTTACCTGAAAAAATGGCGTATGCTTTAGGGCAATGGAGAAAGACAGTTCAGGTAGAAAAGAGCTTCAGATCACATAGTCAGTATCTACAGACATGTTTATCCGAATAACCCAGGCTAAAAACAAACACACGCTCGCGTCGATATATATACGTATGACAATGGAAAGCATCATATATTTCAGAACAGAAACAGTTTTATTATATTTAGGAGCATGGAAACATATATGACATTCAGTATATTAAGAATTAAGATCTCGAAAACCAGCATCAATGGATACAGATAGACACTTCCATTTTTTGAGAACTAAAAATAGAGTTGACCTATTCTACAAATACGAAAGCAAAACCCACAGTGTTCGTGTCCCACCTCCAAAGGAAGTGTAGCAATTAGTGGAGCACATGCCTCCAAAGTCATAAGCTTTTCAGTTGGAAGGAATATTGTCTTGACCTGTAACATCCAGGAGGATAATCCAATTCACAGCTCAGATCAGTTGAATAAAAATGATACATACAGCTAAAAATGAAATGAAACTTCATAAGGAAACTATGAGTGACATGTGGTTTTTTTAAGGGAAAACAACTTCAAGTAATACCAATTATCACTTATAAACCAATAATAATATATACTTTCAAAATGATTTCTAATAACAAAAATAATATGGAGCCACTTTTCGATAAGAAATTCAGTCATTTACGATATAAAAAATTGATATCAAACCATCAAATAAATGATATTAGAAATAGGGTCACTTATTTGATATATTAATATTAGTTTTTGATAAGTTAAATGACTGAATTTTAGTGAAAAGTTGTTGTATATCAATATAGTCAAATAGTTGGTATTATTAAAAATTATTTCCAATATACGTATTATTCTTGGTTCACGGAAGATAGTTTGTATTATTTAAAATTATTTTCCCTTTTTTTAAAGATTATAACCTTATCCCAGTTTTCTTCAATTTCAATGCCTCCACATTCTGAGAAGCTAATTGTACACCCTAGTCTTTCAGAGACTATTGAAAGATAATATTCCTCGTCATGGGGAACAAATGGTTCAACAATGAAGGTTGTAATAGGCGCCTTGCAGCCACTGATCTCGACCTGGGCAAGTTAACATACGTGTATAAGTATACCATTATCACATAACAAAAAGAAAAGAAAGAACATTCAACTAACTTTTTTTGGTATACTACTATACTGACCTCCACACCAAGACGTTCTTTGACAAACTCGGCAACTTCGGCTAGATCCAATTTCAACGCCACCAACCCACTCTTTCCACGCTTCCCAAACAGCATATCTGGTTTAACAACCAATTTTGTGGATGAAATCCATGGTTCTTTGTTGGTTAACTCAGAGAAATCAGTGGCTTCTACTACCTAGCCAAAAAAATTGAAACCTTAAAACTATTTACATATTTAGCTGAAGAGATGGTTTAAGTAATGAGTGTCACGACTGAATACAGAATAAATTAATTTAACCATAATGTCAATAAAGCTGAATGTAGGAAAAGACCATCAGGATTATATATATCAAATAAAACATATGAAACAAATAAAGAAAAGAGCAAATAAGACCTTACTTTTCCCCTGCCCATTTTGTCAGGTAAAAAAACATGAAAACAAAAACACTGTTGCTTAAAGTAATAACTCAAAAGAGATGGTTGGCCTTTAACCAACAGTAGTTTTAAACAACTATTTCATCGTTTAAAATTGGCTTTACCCCCTTTAAGTTAGGGAAACTTGCACAGTGACATCTCAAATTTGATTGGATATGAAAATGCTCTTTTAACAAAGTCCTTCGAAATATTGCCCAACTACTCTGTCATGTTTTCTAATTTCTATGCAATCATTACTTGTCTCTACATAACTTTATCCTTAACTATGAACTGATAAGACATCAAGGATAGAGAGACTTACGAATGAGATAATAATAAATATGGCATTGCTGCACAATAATTTATTAGAACTAAGGCCCAACCGGTGCCTTTAAAGAGAGAATTTGACCAGCAAGTTACATGCACGTCATGTTCATAAAGTGTTCATCACTGAAGGGTAAATGGAACTGGATATAGCGAGAGATAACATGGAATGGGAGTCATATGATATCAGGGATGGATTTAGGGGGGAGTGGGGCGGCCACCCCCTTGGAATTTTAAAAAGATGTATATATATATACTCCCTCCGTCTCAATTTGTAAGATACTTTACTGTTTACGATGTTTGACCGGCAATAAAGCAAATTGATTCCTGTCAACACTTAAATTAGTTTTAGAAAATAAAATTTACATATTCAGAAACTACATCAAAACCGCTACAAAACGTGCAAAAGATAATTCAAATTTCATAAACTTTTGAAATATAAAGTAAAAGATTAAGAGTGATTTATGTTGACCAAGTGAATAGTAAATGTATCTTACAATTTGGGACTGAGGGAGTAATATTTATAATTGTACTAGATATACTCATGTTTGTCCCCCTTGGTTTTTTTTTGAACTTTTAATAAAACTTAATATGAGGTGTGACATTTTAAAGAGTAAATAAACTAAAATAGTTAAGTTCAAATTATGTTTTCTTCATGAACATAAAAGCTACTAATTCCTTGATTAAAGTCATTAAACAAATACATAGTAATAATATAACACTTGTTGATTTAAGATGCATGCTGATTGCTATCTAATCTCTTTATTCTCTTCTAACAAAATGTCAGTTTTGTAAGTTTATCTTTATAAAATAAAAAGTTACATGGTTTTGTAAGAACATACCAAGAAATACTCAAAAAATTCGTGGAAGGCAATTAAGCAGCTATGTGATAAAGTTCAAATGGACCCATATATAAAGCATGTGTGACATTTAAAACAGAGGGATAACTAACTTAGTGTTTGACTCATTTAAAACAAACTATTTGATACTCCGTAGATCTCATATCAAGGTTCGCAGTTCAGGTTTCGATGGTGGAGGGTTCACATATGATAAAGTTAACCCTCCCCTGAAATCTAAGCATTCAGAAACTACGGTAGAAGTTCTCTTTAATAACAAAAACAGAATTTGAATTTGATAAAAAATGTTTATATAAAGCAGATATCAAAAGACTGTTAATTGAGTTGGATGTGTGATTAGTGAATGAAAACCTTACACATATAACATATACACATACGGAGTATTAAATAAATTAACAATATTTGTATAAAAAAAATAGTAAATTCAAAATGAATAAGTTCATGAGTACTACGGAGTACTATAAATTAGAGAAAATTTCCTCAATAAGACTAAAACAAGGAAGTACATAAATAGGACTATAATTGTTTTATTCGACTCATTCACTCCTATTATTAGGAAGTTTAAATCAGCTTATTTTTTTAATAGGAGTAAATTAGTCCTATTTGGAGAATAAAACATACTTTGTCCTATTTTTTTAACTTTGCCTGTGTTTTGGTCATACATTGAACAACTTCTATATATATTACAAACATATGTCTTGAATAACAAGTATTCAAGTTATTCAAGAATGCATCTTAGAAAATCGTTTCTTCATTTTTAGTTTTTTACAAGATTTACATAGTTAGATAAGGAAAAAGTAATTAAAAATAGCATCTGTTGATTCCCATCGATTAAGCACATTTACCTTCCATCCAAATTGTTACAATCAAATAATTTCCTTTGATTTTGTATCACTTATATGTTTGATCTGCTAATGCCGACTTTTAAAGATCGTGTATTATAAAAATTAACTTTATAAATGATTATAAGCTAGTGATTTTTTTTATAAATTATTTAAATAAAATGATATAAAAAGCATTAGCGTAATGAAAAAAATTGCCCAAAATCCTGGAAAAAAAACATGAAGGGGAGTACTTAGATTATAGATTGCATCATCAATAGTGATATGCTTGTGGCTTATAAGTACTTTATTGCTTAACTGAAAATAACGGGGGGATAGGTTCCATGTAGTTGACCAAGTAGAATGGGTTAAGATTTAAAGCTGAGGTGTGAACAACTGAATGGGGGAGGAAAAAATTGTGGGCTTGGGATTAAGAGTAAAAGGGCATTTTCTTTCCAGTTTACCCCAATATAAGTATATGGGCATCAAGGACAGTACGTTATAGCTTATTAGCTGGAACTACCTGCTCAAACATTGCAAGATTAACTTACTACGCTGCTTACTGATAATTACCATTAGTTGTCATTGGTCATACAACTATACAAGCTTGGATGTGGCAGTTGGGCTTTATACTAGCCAATCATGATCATGATCACTAAAGATCACGACTTTTCGAAAATGGAATACACAGACATATATCAGAGAACTTAAAGATACAGAACTATCAGATATCAGTTAAACTTAACATTCAGTAAAGAAACTATGAACATAACAAAGAAGTAAAATTGTAAACTCCAGACGTTAATTTAAGCAGAACTTTTTATTTCCGAAGATCCCAATATTGTAAGATCGGGAGCATAAACAAATATGCCCCTTCTACCCCAAGAGACTAAGAGAGAGAGAGAAGTACTTGAGCAGAGCAGATCTGGAGGTCGATTCCAGACAAACGTTTCAAATGCTCCTTTAGAAGCCTCTTAGAATCATACTCTCTGATCTTCTTCCTTGCCATAATATTAAACCCTGCAGCTACACCTAAGAAGTCAAATTCATGACAGACAATTACAGAAATAACTTATAAACGCAGATAAAAGCAATCAAATTGCCCGCACTCCTAGGCGAAAAAGATAAAGAAAGCTGAAGCGATCAAAAGTATCTCCCACGTAGTCAACTATGCGCTCACCAAACAAGCAATTTCAACGGCTCCACTGCCGTAGGGTGAGAGACGGATGATGATATGGCCGGTAAATCAGGCCGATCAATGTTGTGGCTTATTATAGGACTCTGTACTGGTACCAGTATACATTGCACATTTACGCGCTGTAACTGAACCATGACAACGTGGACCCATGGAAAATGCGTTACTCCGTCCCATTTTGGACTTTTGGTACTTTCCTTTTTGACCCATGGAACATGAGATATACTTCTTTTCACCTTATTCAATTTCAACCACAATTTTTTACTTTTCAATTATTCCATCAATAATTGTGTCAAGTTAAAACAAGACAATCAATACCGCACAAAGTAACATCATTGGACTCCTTTGAATCTCATATCAGATCGGATAAGACTTAAACGGAATAGATCATACTTTAAGTTATAGGATCAGACATCTACCAGAGTAGTAGACTAGACTAGTTCAAATCAAACAAGACTTAAACAGACTATATCACACTAAATCAGGTCATACAAGAAAATTTAATCCAATTAAAAACATATTAAAGAATAGGATTATGGAGACTCATGCATATACTCCCCGCTTATGGAGTTATAAGTGGTATATGGTATTGTGACACTACCAGCACCACTTAATTTATTATATTAGATAGAATATTTTGAATATGTCTTTGATGCTTACTACACTTTCTTTCTCTAATTATGTGTCTCGTGTCTTGTTTTCTCTTTTAAATTGTAAGGGTTTTTAGATTGGACTTACACGTGAGTCGTGATAGCATTTGGCTGGATTACTTTGGGGTCCTATATTCCTATTATTAAAACATGAGTTATTCTTCGTGAATAAGCCTAGGATATGCACACATTTATTTTACATGCTACACATTATTTCATACGTTTGTGTAGAAATAATACGATTTTTTTACAAAGATGTATTTACCTAAATAGAACTAAAGCATATGAGAAGTGCCATTGTGGGACTCGTACTATTCCGTGTAGTAGCGTAGGACTAAAATAAAGGTGGAATTCCAAAATTGCCCTACACCTCTCTTCTTTTGTTCGCCATTTGCGAGCCATGCGATGAATACAATTTTTCAAAGTAGGCTTCTTCTTCTTCTTCTCAAGCTATTATACTTTCTTTCTTCCACCGTTCACCTATTTTATGGGCTTTTGGATTTCAACTTTTTATTAAACCTGGTTAATTCCATTAAAAATAATAATTAACCCTAGTTAATTTGTTTAGAATATTCATATTATTTTTCACACCGTTTGAACATGAGAAATGTCACTCTTAAGACATTGCATTTATAAAGATGACATATTTACTTTTTCAAAGTAAAGTATGACATACATTTCAGAAAAACAAAAACTGACATCTCCTTGATAGTTTTAGAACAAACATGACATTTTTTTTAAAACATGAAAGAAAGGGGAACGATTGTCATGTTGTTACATATGTAAATGTCACCTTCATGACATTTTGAGAGCAAACATAGCATTTTTTAAAAACGGAGGAAAAAGAAGAAGATCGATGGAGAAGACAAAGAGAAGGAGAAGAAGAAATCAGAGGAGGAAGAGCTGGATTTCTGAAATTGGTGGAGTTCTTCCGATAAATAAAATGAATAGTGATGGAGGCAGCAAAACAAGATCAAACCTGGAGTACTTTGAGAAATAGTAGGAGAATAAGATTGAACTTGGAGATCATAACAAAGCAAAGAAGAACAAATAGTGCAAGAGAAGAATATGATAATATTGGAGGCAAAGTCTACAAGCAGGACAGAGCGATGGCAAAGGCAATTTGGACATTAAAGAAACGACGATTACTTATACTAGAAGCGGATGACTTCTGTAACGGAAATAAAATATATTAATTCATATTTTGACCTTTTATCAATGTTTCAGGGTCTGTTTGCAAATGCTTAAAAAAGTGCTTCTCAACTTTTGACTTAAAAAACTAGTGTTTCAAGTGATAAAATTAAAAACTTAAAAACTATAAGTTGAAAATAATCTTTACTTTTTCTATTACACAAAAAGCACATATTTTACCAAACACTACCAACTTTTACTTTTCAAAATCAATTTATTCTCAAGCACTGAAAACTTTTACTATTAAGCATTTTTTCCCAAAATCACTCTAAAAAGTCATTTTTAAAGCAATTGCAAACACTCTCTTAGGTGTGTCCCCGATTATGACTTTGATGGATTATAAAAGATCATGAATTTTGAAATCCGAGGGAAGTCTACAAGATTGTGGTGGATTGTTTATGTATATAGAAATTCATCAAAATCCATTAAACTCCGTGCAAAAAAGTAACAACCGAAATCCACAGAATGTTTGAGGACACCCTTATTTTCATGAATTCCACGGAAATCCAAATTGAGGACACCTGAATTCTGACCGAGTTCTAAACTCCATTAAAATCCTCCAAAATCCGAATTGACTAAGAGTTACAATCAACCAATAGCTCCAAAACCACTACATATCCTTCAACAAACTGCATCTAGACTCAAGAGATGCCCTACGATCAGACCATGAGGCGACCACCTCCGAAGAAGCAGCACAAATCGCTGACCACCAGACAAGCAACACAAAGTTCTTATAGACCTTTTAGGTCACCGTACTCTTCACCACTTCACTAGACTCGTACAAATTAAGGGATTCTTTTCGTTAGTGATTAGACATAGAAAAGTTTACCCAAAACTGAGCGAAGCATTTCGCTGAACATATGGGAGTTTCGAGGCAATTACCTTTTGATCATAACTAATTTAGACATCTCAAAACTATCACGAACACAAACAATCCAAGAGCCATGAGAGAAAGATAAAACTTGAAATAAGAATATACGGAGTAACAAACTTAAAGCTTCTTTTTCTAAACCGCTCTAGACACACGTTCACTCCATGGCGGTGGTTCAGGAGGAGGTTGGGTTATCAGTCCCGCCTCTGTCCGCAGCACCCTACTCCAACCTTGTGCCTCACAACCGCTTTCTGATCCACTCGGCTCCTCAACCGCAGCACCGCCAAAGCCACCGTCCTGTTTGCAGTCACACATCCTCTCGTAGAGGGAACCAGTCTTGCAATCCACTCGCCTAGCTCCACATCAACCCTCCATCCTCCTCCTCCATTATTTCCTTTCATTTGCAAGAAGAAAACAACTAATCAAAACCTAGCAACATCGACAAAACCAAGCATTCCAGTCAGCTGGTTGCGAGATTATCATGCCTAGTGAGAGTTTTCGAGTTCGAAACCCGCTAGACACATAAGGATTTGAAACTCAATAAAGTGATTTTCAGTGCTCAGGCTCCCAGCCCCCTCCCAGATGACCCTGGAGTAAAAAAAAAAGATCACATCACCTAAAACCCTATGGGAGACAACTCAGACAAGCTGCACCTTCGGCCAAAACCTTGAGAGTCCCGTGGTCGCTTTTAATCCAGGGCAATTTATTTTTTATAAATTGTGGATTACAAATTGTAGTAAAAATATTTTTACCTTCTTGGTAAAATAGCTCTATCACTAAACCAATTTCCCAAACACATCCTAGAAAATGACCCCCGGAAGCTTGCTTGGTTCATAGTAGACTGGTAAATTCATTGATTCAACTGGGAAGATAGAGGTCGAGAAAGAATAAGAAAGTATGCTGCAGTGCATTTTCCTTCTCTCCGACTCTGGGTATGCCATCACTCTCTTTTTTCACGTTCACATTCGCCACATATTTACTTCTATTGAACTTGCAATGTATAAAACTGAATCGGGATCTAATGCATTAGTTTTCGGGTTTAGATTTGATTAAAAGGGTTTCTGTTTTAATACAATCATATCAATACATGGGACTATTGAATTAGAAGTCTTTGCAGATATGAAACTGTTTGATATGATCTTGAGAATGAATTGTTTATGGCAGTGAGATAATGCTAGAAAAACAGCTCACTGGTCACCGGGTCGAGAGGTCAATATGTGATTGGTTCTGGGAACAGTCGATCTCTCAAGGTGATTCTTTCAAGGTAGCTTTTTTGAGTTTCATTTCTCGGTTAAGTTTCCATATATCTTGCAGCTCTTAGAGGAAAAGGTTGCGAGGTTCAATTTTTTGTTTTCTTTTTCTCTGGTTAACCCTTATTCTGCCGCTGAATATTTAGCATTTACCTGTGATTGCTTCACCCACGCATTACCTTTTCCAAGTTGTACGTGATGGGGTCACATTCTTAGCCTGCACGCAGTCTGAAATGCCTCCTTTAATGGCAATTGAGGTAAGCATGTAAACACCGTATTTTATTGTGCGGGATGTTATTTGCATATAATTACTTGGATGATTTGTGATTATTTATTTCTAGAAAGGTAAATTGAACTGATTCATTTATCTCTAATATATTGTTGGTATCCATGTGCTATGCAGAGCATGGTCAGTAAGCTGTTGCATAAACTTTTATGTTCCCCTGTTTGGTTGAGCGCCTAAATGTTTCCTAGGTATCCTAGGTTAAACTTGAACGTTCTAGTGATGTGAAATAAGCATTGGAATGTCTCTGCAGTTAATGTAGGTTTTTTAATTGAGCAAAGTTACTGGAACTGAAATAAATCAATTGATATTATAATCTAGGTATTTTTTAGAAGTATTTGCTTGATAGTTGTAGTACTGGAGCTGTTAGTTACTCTTTTTCAAGTACAACATTTTACATACTCTTCTGTAACCATTCTTAAAACATGCGTATTACTCCATGCTGCATTATTTCCTTTACTGGACGTGATGTCATAGAGTGACTGTTCTAGTTTAGGGGGCTTTTTTTATCGTATAAACTTTTTCCATTTCTTCTTCACGTCAATATGTTCTCACTTTCACTTCTCTGTAAGATTGTCAAGTGCTTCATTGACGGGTAGAGTTCAAGTATTTCATCTGCTGACCCACCATTAATTGATTTCTGAACTTCAACTATCATTCCACTTGTAATGATAATTTTTTTATTCAGCGTAAATGTGCGATTCTTTCCCCCCTCAAAGAAAAAACTAGTATTCTTTCATCTGAGCTCCCTAAATAGAATGTGGCAATGTGGTCAGTCCTACTGGCTAATAAGCCGAGTATGTGTGTGTTGTGTACTTATGTAGCACTTCTAGTGCCAGATAAGGCAGTGCTTTTAAAGACACTATTCTAATTTGAGGATACATAGTAGATCTTTGTGGTGTATAGTACTATGAAGAGGGACTGTTGAAATAAGATCATTATGTTGTACTACCTGGCCTATCAAGTTTTAATCATATTCTTTGATGTGTAGGAATTTGTCATCATAGTGTAATAATAAAGACTAAGTTTCAATTTTATCTGAGTTCTAACGGTTGCTATTTTAGTTTCTTTGCAGAGTAGCTGATATCCTCTGTGATTACCTTGGTGGTTTAAATGAAGATTTGATAAAGGATAACTTTGTGATTGTGTATGAGGTAACTGTAATTACATGCATTTGAAAACAGAGATTTCATTTTCTTTATACATGTCATTTCATTCATCTGCCTTCTGATAAATTTCCTAGTACTCAATGCTTGTGTGTTTCTGCATGTCTCCCCGGGCGTCACATTTTAAGTAACTATATTGTAAATATAATGGACTAATGGTTTAGGTCTCCGAAGGATTGTTTTAGTTATTTCTGTTGAGGGTGGGATGCTACCTGTGTGAATACGTTTTATTGGTAACTTGCAGTGAATTCTAATAGTAAACATTGTTTTGTAAATGTAAAAGTAGTCATATGATAATCTTGATTTTGCTCTCTGGAAGAATTTGTTTTCTTTCTCCCTGGGGAAATCCAAATAAACAAATGCATATCATCTCCCAAGTCCCATCAGCTGGTTAATCTATGAATATTTTATACTTCGTATTTCATTTCATTGTTCCCGTATTTATAAAATCACTCTTTCTTAAAAGCTGGAAGATTAGAGCGTGTGCTGTCACTTGCAGCTTTTGGATGAGATGATAGACAATGGCTTTCCTCTTACAACAGAACCTAATATACTGAGAGAGATGATAGCTCCTCCAAATATTGTGAGCAAAGTTCTGAGTGTTGTAACAGGCAGCAGTTCCAATATGAGCAACACTCTTCCTGGTGCAACGGCAACCTGTGTTCCCTGGAGGAAAACAGACTTGAAACATTCGAGCAATGAAGTTTATGTTAACCTTGTTGAAGAGATGGATGCCACTATTAACAAGTAGGTGCACGTAATTAAAATATCTTTTTGCTAGTGGTGTTAAATGGTTGCTATGACAGCACAATGATTTAATGGCGTGGCAGATTCGTTGCAAGCTGCTATAGGAAATTTGTGAAGCATGGCGGTCTTTGGCAGGGTCATATGGCTTAATCTTTTGGTTTTGGGGCTCTTATAAGTTCAAGAGTTTATTTGTTTTCAATGTTTTTTTGTTGGCGGGGTGTGTGGTAAATATAGCCATATAACCTCTGTGGTGGGTCAGGATGGCATAATAATTTTTCTTAAAGTTTCAAGTGAGAGTAAATGAGATGAGTTTTCAACTTGACCTTGTGTTTATTACCAGTAGTCTTTTTTAGGTTGTTCACCAACCTTGGTATGGTGTTATTGTTAGTTATAGCTCATGAGTTTTAAAGCTTTCCACTAATGGTAGTCTCATTCCATATCATGCTCATCATCCATGGTTATGAACTTATGATTGCTTAACGTGCTTTTCCTGCTCAGGGAGGGAACTCTTGTAAAATGTGAGGTTTATGGTGAAATTGAAGTCAACTCGCAGCTTTCTGGTATCCCTGATCTCACTCTTTCCTTTGCAAACCCATCCATCTTTAATGATGTGCAATTCCATCCTTGTGTTCGTTTAAGACCATGGGAATCAGACCAAATTCTATCTTTTGTTCCTCCTGATGGGCACTTCAAGCTCTCAAGCTACAGGTTTGCACTTTGATTGAAATTTTCTTTGTTAGATGATAGTTCTTTTTTGCATTTATTTTTTTGTGTGGTGGGCGTGCTTGTGAATGTTCTTAGAAGTGACAATTTGTTTTCTTAGAAAGTGTTCTTGGGGATGCATGATTTCAGCTTCCTGCATCTATTTCACTATGTGAAAATACATCAAGAATCTTTATATTAATGTTTTGATCTAGTAACGTGCCTCTCTTTTTGTGAAGAGTGCCATGCCTTAAAGATTTCAGAAATATGCTTTGTTGTTTTTTCAGAGTTAAGAAGTTGAAAAATACTCCCATATATGTGAAACCGCAGCTCAGTTCAGACAGTGGAACATGCCGAATTAGTGTACTAGTTGGAATACGAAATGATCCAGGAAAGCCCATAGATGATGTGAGCGTGCAATTTCAACTGCCTAGTTGTGTGTTATCTGCAGATCTTTCACCAACTCTGGGAACAGTTACCATTCTTACCGATAAGGTACTAGCAGGTGCCTATGGTCTTAAATGAAATTGAATTGAGATAATGCATAAATAGAACTAAAACAGTACATTTGTTAAGACCCATCACTGAAATAAAGAGAGAATAATTGGTTAATAAGACATTGGGCTTAACTAGCTAACTGTTTTTGCTCAATCGTTTAGTATATTTCAGTCCAAGTATTTTATGGTCAAATTGAGTGATCCCACTCCTATCTTAAATGCTATTGCGGTATTGATGTCAGGTTCTGGTTCACTTTATTTAAAGATGACCTGGTTGTCTATTTGAGGTGTTAAGATCTCACATTCTCACATGTAAAATTAAGAAGAGAATAGTCGATTAAAAAGGATTTCAGGTTGAACTAGTTAACAAATAGGACTCGATGTTTTAATTGGTCTGGCCAAAGTATTTTATGTTCCAGACTTCCAGTTGAGTGAGTAGTCCCAACCCAATACTGAATTCTATGAACATTTCTTCAAATAGAACTATAATTGTTTTTTACTAAAAATGTCTTATTTGCTCCTAAAAGAAGAGTTACCAACTAGTTCCATTATTTTTCAGAACTGAATGAATATATTTTTAGAACACAATAAGGATCCTCCTATTTGTGCAAATGAGTCATCTTTTGCTCCTATTTGTAGTAACTTTCAAATTAATTCTTGTTGACGTGTGGCTAGGGAATTCATTGCATTGGTTAGCAAAAACTGAATTGTTCTATCTGCTAGAAGCTGATACATCAGTTGTGTGTGTTTGTGCAGACATGCTGTTGGTCGATTGGAAGGGTCCCAAAAGATAAAAGTCCATCATTGTCTGGAACCTTGACACTAGAGACTGGTTTAAAGCGGCTTCATGTATTTCCTACTTTTCGGGTGGCATTCAAAGTCATGGGTGCCGCTCTTTCTGGACTTAAAATAGACAAACTGGATATAAGGAATCTGCCTATGCGCCCTTACAAAGGTTTCCGAGCTCTAACCCGCGCAGGAGAGTATCAAGTAAGATCTTGATCGATCAAACCTCGGATTTCAAATTTGTACAAAGCTGGGGTTGTTGGTCAGTTGTGTCTAGCCAAGGACTGCTCAAACTGTACCCCTATTTGCCCTCCATACTTTTTTCTTTGGAGTAGCTCTCTTCAAATGATTCTTTATGGTCACTTTGTTGTTAGTGTAAATTTTCTAGTCAAGGACGAGAGCATATCAGAAATTGAAGGCTCTGTCATGCAAGTATGCAACTAAGAGTCCTGATCGAGTGATTTTGTATTTTATGTTTTTCAATTTTTAAAAATGAAAAGTACAACAGGAGTTTGAAAATCAGGAGGCAGGAAAAAAGGTTTCAAGGTTTAGTTTGTAGCTCTCATAATTAACACGTTGCATATGAGTAATTAAGTACGAGTATTCTTTGTTTCATTTTAGTTTGCAACTTTGCACCATTGTTTAACCTCAGTCAAAGCTGTCAAACATCTAGAGTCCGTTTGGTAACGCTGAAATCGGCCGATTCTGCTGCAATTTATAAAGTTCTTGTTTAAGTGGCCGATTTATTAGAAATTATTGGCCGTTGTATTGGTTGAATCGGCTTGTTTAACGTTGTATCGGTCGATTTATGAAAAAATTATATTTAAAATATATTTTACTAATTAAATGAAGAAAAATATATATAAAAAAATAGTTAAAATGATCATCTACAGTATCTTCAGGCAATACAGTCAGAAAAGTAACTTCAACGTTACTTTTTCTTATTATTACACAACTCAGCGCGTGAAATCAAAAGTTACGTGTTTGGTTTAAAAATTGGTTGATAAGCCGAAAAACACAGGTACCAAATGGGCTCCTAATATGCTGATTTAATCATGGGTTTAAAGTCTAAGACGAACATATTTCATGCATAGATAAGAAATTATGTTAAGATTATAATTTATAATTTCAAAATAAGTTTATATCTCTAGAAACTAGAAGAGGCGTGACGGCGTGTATTCAAATGTGTGCTATGCCCACGTGCATGTTATAAATGACTAAATGAGTATCGAGATTACATTGTTAAAAAAGATGTGACAACTCACCATTCGTTTCATTTTTTCTCTATTTTAGTTTGCCTTTTTTTATATAGTTTGCCTTGTATTATACAAAGTATTTGCATAAAATATATCCTACACCAGGTTGTACCATATGCACGGTACAATCAGGCTTTTTTGGGTTTCTGAGCTTCTTGTCTTTGATGTGCTTCGCACCGGAGTTCACACTTGGCTTCTTTGATCTCGCTTGGTTTCTTCAATCTGATTTTGCACTAGGCACATTGCTCGTCGCCAATGCTCACCACTTGCCCCCTTCTCCATTTTGCTGCTCGTCGCCACCGCTCATCACTCGCCCCCTTATCCTCTGGTCTAGTTACTTCTTCTCGTTTTTTCTTTCTTTCCGGTGTAGTTGCCGGCATAGCTTTACTGTTTGAGCTTGTATTTTCGGAGACAATGAGAGCATACTTCCTTGAATCCTTGCTGAGCAATCCTTGTTGTTATTGATCTCAAATGAGTTTTATATTAAACTCAAATGAGTATGCGTCTAAAAGGAATGAACATACACAAATGAATATTGAGCACATTATAAATGAGTTTTATGTTACACTCAAATAAGGGGGTGTTTGGATTTGATTCTTAAAACTGCTTCTGCTCCTTCAAGGAGCAGAAGCAGAAGTTGGAGTGTTTGGGTGAAAGTGCAGAAGTGATTCTGGTGTTCTAATTTACTCCTAGAATCAGTTTTTTAAGAAGCCGAGGGTGACCAGCTTCTGAAAACTGATTCTGATTCTGCTTCTGCTTTAAAAAAGAAGCAGAAGCAGAATCAGTTCCAAACACCCCTAAGTATAACGCCCAAAATGAATGAGCATACACAAATGAGCTTTTCAATTTTTTGATACTCATTTTGTAAGTTATAAATGCTCATTTAATATCGCTTTATGCTCATTTTAAAATGATGCACATTTCAAACGTATAATACTAAATTAGATTCACATATTGAAATTAATTGAAATTGATATTAGAAATAATTTAAGAATTTTTTATAAACGAAAAAATAACATAAAGAAAGTGAATGAGAAGATATGAAGCAGAGAACACTGATGCTCATTGTTAGGCTCTTAATACTCAAAAATACAAGCTTGATGCTCACCAAAACTGCATTAATGCTCATTTAAGAGAAGCGATGATTTTCACCAAAATTACAAACTTACCACCAGTTGACACCGTACAGTCGATTGTATGGTATACGCTTCAAAGTATTTGATACCCCTTCCCTCTCATAATTAACTCCTATTTTGACTTGACATAAAAATTAATAAAGTTAAAATTGTTTGTCTTAAAGTTAAGCAGATGAGAAAAAATGTTGAGAATAAAAAAAATTATCTTAAAAAAGAAAAAGAAATTTTATTAGGACAAATGAAAAAGAAAAGAATAAAGTGTACTAGTGTAACACCCGGGGCAATGCCCCGGTAGTGTCATGTTAATATGAAATATAATACTCCATCATATATTAAATGTGCAGGAAAAAGATAGCATATATTAATTGATGGAGTATATGGGTCTGAGCCCCAGGACCCACATACTCGGAAGAACAGAAAGCACAAGACAACAGAGTGGCGCCCTCGTCGGCCAAGACGCCCCCGTCGGCCGAAAAGGAGCCAACTCGGATTATGGTCCTGAGTCCAAGGAACCCGGGTGCCCTCGTCGGCCGTGCCCTCGTCGGCCGTGCCCTCGTCGGCCACGCCCTCGTCGGCCACAAAGACCTCTCAGAATCGGATTTTATACTTACTCATTTGTACAGCCCATTAGTGGCTTTGTATTCGGCCCAGTAGCGGTCCAGTTGTAAATGGGCCTCCCAAGCCCAAGGCTTGGGAGCCCAACCCTAATTTTCTCTATAAATACTCCCCTTGGGAGTAGTTATAGGGGTTACGAAATCATTCTATTGAAGCATATTATTGCACTTCTCTCTCTAGCTCTCAATTCTCTCTAGATATACTCTATCATTTGGTGCTCTCGTTGAGAGCTAGAACAATCAAGTTAGCACCCTTCGTCGCTACCAAGCACAGCTAACCACTGATCATGGGGAGAACTAAGTCAAACCGCAACCTCGTCAGCAAAGTCATCCCTGAGGACCAAGAGCCCAGAGAGCACGATGAGGACGCCACGGCCGACCAGGTCGGCGGAGGGGACCTCTTCCAGGAGGCCTTCAACCTCACGACGGACCTCCGCAACCAACTCAACGACGGAGTCCCCGACGCCCGCCTCGGCCTGGAAAAGAAACGAGCTGAGAAAGCGGACCACGCCCCGGCCCAGCCTATGGTCGCGGCCTCTCCGTCCGTAGATCCTCAGGTCCAGGCCGCACTATCGGCTATCATCGCCAGCTTGGCTCAGAATCCCACCGTCCTCAGCGCACTCTTGCCAAGGACCGGGGGAAACGTCACTCCACCTCCTCATCCCCAACCATTGGCCGTCCAGATAGGCAACAATGAGGGGGTTGTGGCCCAGGACACGGCGTCGTCCCACTCCCACCCTGCTTCCCCTCTTCGGCCCGGGCAGACCCCAGCACGTGGAAAAGCCTCTGCCTTCAATAGGCTAGGTGACACGCGTCGTCGTCCGGTTTCGGAAAGGATGGCGGGACGGATTGGTGATCCTCGTCCTGGCTCGCCAAGGGAAAGCTTGGGGTCTGTGTCCCGGACAGCGGACCAGCCCCGCCCGGACAAGGGCAAGGGGAAGTTGCACGAGGATGACGTGCGCCACCAGATCAACGCGGCTCACAACGAGCGCCTGAGGAACCAGCCGGGCGCCGCTGCGGCCGACAGGGACCCCCGGGACGAGGTCATCGCCCAGCTGGATAGGAGGCTGGCTCAGATGGAGGCCAAGCAGTCGGCCAACATCCCTACGGCCGGCGCCTCCAACGACCCCGGCCTCAACGCGCTCATGAACAAAGTTAGCGCCCTGGAGAGGGAGCTGGCTGAGGGGCGAGGTGACCCCATCATCCAGATCAGGACCAGGACCCCTTTCACCAACAGGGTCCTCTCGGCCCCCATCCCTGAGAAGTACAGGGGGAACGCCATCAAGTCCTACGATGGCCGATCAGACCCCCAGGAGCACTTCAGCCGTTACCAAAACAACATGCTGATGATGAACGCGTCCGACGAATACCTCTGCCGGTGGTTCCTCTCTACTCTCGAGGGGCCAGCGTACGAGTGGTTCAACGGACTGCCAGAAGGAAGCATCGACTCATGGCAGGATCTCGCCCAGCGCTTCCTCACTCACTTTGCCGGGAGGAAGCGCGCAAAGAAGTATTTCACCCACCTCCTCTCCGTCAAGCAGCAGAACGAGGAGTCCCTCCGGTCATTCATAGACCGGTGGACGAGGGAAACCGAGGAGGTCGAGGGGGCCGATGAGCGCACCCTCCTCGCTTTGTACCAGGGAGCCCTCCGCAGCTCCCCGTACGCTAGGAGCCTCATCACCGACCCCCCCGAGGTCGTACGCCAAGGCGCTCCAGCGCGGAGGCTTATATGCCGACGCCGACGAGCTCCACAATCACAAGAGAGAGGGGGGCCATCCCCCCAAGAAGACAAATCCTTCGCCGGCTCCGGGTCCGTCCCCGGCCGGCCAGGGTGCCCAGGGCCGCCACGGCTCTGGTGGACAGAGTAAGAAAGACCGCCACTGGCGGCCGAGGCTGGAACGGCCGGGGGTAACCCTCACCCACCCGGTCGGCACCATCCTCGATTATGCCGAGAAGCACGGCCTCATCGAGCAGGCTCCTCGGCCGGCCGAGGAGATCCTTGCCATCCAGCAGGGCGGCACGTACTGCCGGTTCCACAAGAACTCGTCGCACAACACCGACGATTGCATCACCCTGAAGAAGGCCATCGAGCGTCTTATTCGCCAGGGGGAACTCTCCCAGTTTGTCAAAGGTGGCCCACGCAAGAACACTTGGGTAAACACCGGCAAACATGGGGGCGAACCCTCTGCGAAGAAGCGGGAGATTGGTAGACTCAGCGACGACGAGGACTTTGAAGAGCCTCCGCCGAAGAAGAGTCACATCCACCTCATCGTGGGTGGAAATACTGGGGGGGACTCCGCCACTCAGAGGAAGAAATGAGCCCAATCCCTTTACATTGGGGAGGTGTCCCACATCCCCCCCAGCCGAAGAATCAGCGAACGGAGGCGATCACCTTCACCGACAAGGATCTGCCTCCAGGTACGGAGTCACACAGGGACGCCCTCGTCATCCGATGTGAGATCGGTGACTCCATCATCCACCGAACTTACATCGATACGGGGAGCTCCGTCAACGTGATGTACCTAGACACCTTCAAGCAACTGAAGCTGGACAGAGCTTTGCTGAAGCCGATCAAGACCCCGTTATCCGGCTTCACCGGGGACTCTATC